CACGTGCAAAGGCCCTGGGACAGGTCTGTGTCTAGCGTGGCTGGAGCAGAGTGAGTAACGGTGAGCGAAGGAGGAGGGGAGGGCACGGAAGGGCTAACGGGCGGGTCGTGCAGGGCCGTGCGGGTCTGGGGAGGTCGTGGACTGTTAGCCTGAGGGCGGTGGGCCGAGGGGCGGGGCCTAACTCGAGTGCTCACCGGCGCCCTCTGGTGGCTACTGCGGGGAGGACAGACTCGGGGGTGAAGGTGGGAGCTGGGGACCAGGGCGGAGGGCGGAGCACGATGGGAGCTCGTGGGGCCTGGCACAGCGTAAGTGCTCAGTATATACGTTGAATGAATAAATAAACCAATTAGAAGCATCGCTCTGACTACCGCCAGGGACAGAGTAAAGATGGATCGTCAGGATAAGGACTCAGTAGGTGCAGGGCAGAACCAGGGTTTCAGAAGAGCTGCTGGACCCCGTTTCTCAAGGCTCATAGAAGCTGGGCGGCGTGGCTTTGCCGGCTTCCCGGGGGACTCTGAGACGCAGGCTGGCCAGCGCCCCGGAGACTCACCTGGAATGGGCCGGCGGTGGTTCAGCTCCAAGCCCGGCAGCCTCATGGTCGCCTGGCAGTGGAGAGTGGGCGGGGCCGGTGTCCCCAGGGGGGGCAGCAGCCAGCGCTCCGTCACTCGGAACAGCTGGCCCTCGCCCTCCTGGGGCTCCTCCCCCAAATCGTGGTCCAGGGCCTGCACCCCCTCCAGCTCCCGGTCCCCCAGGAGCAGGGACAAGGAGAGGGCGTCGGGGTCGGCGGGCGTGACGTTGTGGGCCGTGCAGGCCACCTCCCGGTCCTGCCCGGCCACCAGAGCCACTGGAGAGACAATCAGCTGGTCTGGGAAGGCTGTGTGGGGAAAATTCGAGGTGGGTGGGCTAAGCCCAGATGGCCGAGGACGGGGCGTGGGGTGGGGACAGTTGGGGCATAGGGACTGCTGGTGCACAGAGACAGGGAAGGCCCAGCGGCCACACCCTGTGTGCCCAGAATATAAGGTGCTGGGGAAGGGTGCAGAGCAGAAAGGGCAGGAGGTCCCGGGTGGGAGGTTTAGGGGTGGATTGGGGGCGAGGCAGTGAAGCCTGGGAGGGCAAGAGTGGGGGTGGCGCGACGCCGAGAGTATGCGAAGGATTTCAGAGCGACTCAGGAGCTTGCCATGCAGGCTTTGAGCTGGGGCAGGGTGGACAATCCCCGGAGACTCTCTGGAAGAGGTGGCATAGGGTCGGAGACAATACAGGGCTGCTGGGTGGGCCGGGCTTGTGCAAAGGCGGGGAGGAGTGGAGGGGTGGGGCTCACCGAACACCAGGAGCTGCACCTTGTGCTGGAAGGTGAGGTTCCCGCAGGAGCCCACGCACACGCGGGTCCCCGCCGCAGACAGCGAGGCGTTTTGCACTGAGAGGACGCGCTGCCGGCG